TCGTCTTCTGGTTCCTCCTTCCCACAGTCATTCCCGTGTATTTCTGGGGGGAGCCCATTTGGAGGACTATTCTTGTGACCGTTTTCTTCCGTCATGTGTACACACTAAACATTACCTGGCTGGTGAACAGCTGGGCGCACATGTACGGCTGGAGACCNCGCCACCTGCTGATGGGCGAGGGTTTTCACAACTTTCACCACGCCTTTCCCTGGGACTACTCGGCCAGTGAGCTGGGACCGTTGGACGTCTTCAACCCTGCCACTGCCTTTATCGACCTCTTCGCCAAAATGGGCCTCGCTATGATTTGAAGAAGGCTAACACCAGTCTGGTGGAGCGGAAGTTGGCTGCCTTTGGCGATCGTGCGGTGACCAAGGACGGCAAGAGCAGCTACTACAAAAGTCTGGTTGGTGTGTTCACCGAGTGGGTTGGTGGGCTGGTCAGCCTCTTCAGTCCGTTTATCATTCTCAAAGTGGTTTTGGAGAACATGGCCGGTGGTGCTTAGGAGTTGATTAATGAAGATGAATAACATCCCCAGCCACTTTTCCGGTTCTTTTAAACAAGTGATTCGTTTAGACTTTTTTTCTGTTCTGTGGTTGCATCTTTGATGCTTAAACTTATGAAAACATGTTTGCTATACGTTGACTGTAGTTCAATACAACGATAAAGTTTATAGAAAAAGAAGCAAAACTTTAAAAAAACCAAAGACCAATAACAGATAGATGATAAAGGGGAGAAATCCCTTCCCTTTCTCTCTCTTTTTTACAGCGCACCTCGTCAGGTGTACAGCTCGAGCAGTGTGTCGCAGACGGCGGCCGTCGTCTTCGTGCCCAGGTCGGTGAGGAGGAGGGTGATGTAGGTGGGCGGAGTGTAGTCCACCAGAGGGTGGGTGGCGGTGTCGTGGCCGGTCAGGCTGACGCTGCTGACGTTACTCCTCTCTACGGCTTGGTGTGCACTTCGGGTGTTTCCACTGCGCCACTTGAGCTGCTCGGGAATGTCCGCCTGGTTGAGCGGGAAGAGGCGGATGAACTTGTAGCTCTCTGCCAGCACGTAGAAGGGCTTGTTGTGCGCCTTTGCGCAGATGGCCAGCTGGTAGGTGCCGATCTGTGGAAACGAGAATTTAGAAACAATTAGAACAACTGTTAAAGATCAAGTTTTCCAGACCAACTTACCTTGTTGATGATGCCACCTGATTCACAGACGCCCTCGGCGCCCACCAGCACCAGGTCGACCCGTTCGAGGATGT